AATGCATGAAAATCCTAACCTCAAAAAAATCACCCGTTATGTATATCCAAATCATTTTACTAAAACCAAATCATTTGTTGGGAGAAACATATTTCGTTGACGCAATCAAACTCTTTTCTCAGTGTATATACATACATACAGTGACTCAAACAAATTATCACGTCTTGATTTATCTTCAAATATTCGTAATGTTTTTCGAGCTAATTTTTTTTATTATTTTTACATACAAATATATAGTTTCAAACTTTATACAAAATTTAGGAAATTTAACAAATTTTCATCAAAATATTAGACTAAAATTATATGGGCTATACAACTGCATACCCAAAAATTATCTAAAAACTCAGAAAAAAATTTTAAATTTTGATGAACATTTTTTGAATTTTCCTAAATTTTGTATAAAGTTTGAAACTGTGATTTACACGGTTTTGGTTAAAGCTTAGACGATATTTTTATATAAAATTACAAAAAAAAATTTAGCTGGAAAAATATTACGAATATTTAAAAAAAAACAGCACGTGGTCATTTGTTTGAGTCACTGTAAGTGTTTATAACCAAAGAGTAATATGCATTTAATTAATCTAAATTACGAGTAAAAATCCAACAAAAAGTCACAATAAAGCAACAAAATGAAAATTTGTATTGTAGAAAAATGAAGAGTCGAACCTTTTCAATGATGTATTCGAAACGGGGTCCAGAGCGTGGCTGGAGTGGTTTCTGTGTGTTTGNTTTTTTTATATTTCAGTTTCGTTAAATATTATTTTTTTTTTGTGATTTTTGTTTGCCGCAAACAAAAAGCGCACACGGACAGGAAACAAGTAAAAGAAAAGAAGAGATATGTTTCATTAAAAAAAAATATCTGAAGCATAAATATAAAAAAAATTTCGGTAGCAAGTTGTGGGGAACAGTGTGCAATTTTTTTCGTTTTTGTGTTAGTGGGGCGGAACACACACACACAAGTGTTAATAATAACATGTGAAAGTGGGAAGATATAATTTAGCATATCTACAAAAGTTAGCCAATTCAACGAAAAAATGTAGGCAAGAAAATAAATTTTGCAATTCAAACAATGAATTTAGCGCCGATTCGCGTTTTTAAGAAGCCTGCTACAAATTTTAACAAAAAAAATTTTACAAGAAAGAATTCAAGCGCTTAAACATGAGGAGCACTCAAACACATAAAATTTAAGTTTGATTTTTTTTGTTTTTTTTTGCATGGATTGTGGTTGGGTTGTGACGACAAAACGAATTTCAATTGAGAAAAGAAAATTTTGTGCAAATGGGTACAACACAATACATACGTTTTTTTATTTTTCTTTCGAATAGCAAAAGCATTTTTTTTATTTACACATAAAATTAAACCTATCAACTTACTTGGCATTTTTAGGCCGACGCGCATCAATCGGAAAATCATCGTCAAAATCCAAATTGAAATCCTCGCCCAGATCGCGCGGCACCAACGGCGTTCGTTGATGTGCTGGACTCGTGTGATAGCCATCGGCGTGTAGCTACACGCAAGCACGCAGTAATTTATAAATTTTATTGTTGTTTTAGTCGCATTTTATTTATACACAATATAAAAATTATTTGTGTTGTAAATTTTCAAAATTTATTTCATGCGTTATTTTATGGCACATTTTATATGTTTGGCCATGATGTTGAGAGTTTATTTAAGTTTGAATAACGTCGTCGTCGTTTGCGTAAATGCGTGGCGTCGATGCGTAGCAATTTCGCATTGGTTGAGTTGTAGTGGTGGCGATTAAAATTTGAGAAAATGGAAAATGATGGAGGAAATATTTATGTTAAATTATTTTGTGTTTCTTTTTAAGTATGGCGAGAAAAAACATTAATTTTTATTTTTACAAAGTCATCTAAGATGTGTTTACAATTGAACGTTTAGTTTCGTTTTTTTTTTTTTTAATTGCGTGGAATTTCAGTATATTACATAAATTGGAATCGAAAGCATGCAATGAAACTGTAGATTGAAATTATGGGTGCTAAGGAAAAACTGGATATAAAGAATACTCAGCTGAAGTTGAAACGCAAATTTTGTTTATAAGCAGATAAAGATATTATAAATAAGAATGCTTTAAGGTATTTTTTTTTTTTTGCTTTGATGTTGCAAAAAGTGTAAATTTTGTTTTCATTGTCAAAAAGGTCTGGTTCGTTGCAAGAAACTTTTATAGTTTAATTTCCATTTGTAAGAAATTTCTTCACCAAAAGCATTTTTTTATTCCCTATGAGGAAATTCCAAGCAAGTATATAGGCGCTGGTAATATAAGGTAGAGGACGTGAAAAAGCAAGATTTTCTAAAATGCTTAAATAAACGTTTCATGAGCTAGTCACGACCAAATTTTTATTTGCGCTGTAGGCACGAAGTAGATTCTGTGCTGGTAAATTGCTAAAGCAGATTCATTAGGGTACAGTCAGATGGGGGCCAGTAGTATATCACGTGCGTAGTTCCAAGTGGCCTGCCCTCAGGGTGGCGTGTTTCTATCTCCCTTTCTAGTGTTTGGTTCTAAATATTCTAATTGACTCCGTTTTTTTTTTTCAAACTTTTTTTTAACTACATTTTTAGGCGTTTTTTTAATCTTGATTTCTCGAATTGCCGTTTTAGTTTTTTTTTGTAAACCAGAATCTAAAAATTCTAATAATTATTTTATTGAAAATAGAACTAAAAAATGTTTATATTTAATATAATACTGCGAAATTTGCTACAATAAAAGTAAAACCGTACGAAAATCCTTCACTGAAATGATTTGAGTAGGCATTTGAAGAGGTGGCTAGTATCGTCGGAGCATCTTATTCAAATTGCACAGAGCAGTTCAACCTGGTACAATATCCAGAATGGAAGAATCGCGAGCCTCAAGATGAAGACAGAACTCAAAACATTGGCCCGAAATTTATTTTAGTAAAAATTACGAACTTTTTTAACTCTGCCAGGTTACACAGGAGTAGCTGGTAATTAGGCATCCAACCATTCGACTAGGTATTGACTTCCACTTTCGGCCGCGATAGCCACCGTTAGAAATTAGGGTGAATGTTTTGCTCAGCAATGTACGGGTGGCGTCGAGTGGCAGTGTCAGAAAATCTAGCCATGTATTTGCTTTCATTGACAAAATGGGACTACAGATAACTTGTGGGGTTGGCTGACTGGGGTACTTCTTGTTGTACCAACATTATTTGAGTGTCATCGGCATATACAACCTCATTTTCTAGTCTTGCTTTGAAGAGTATGAGACGATGCAAAAATTTTTATGCTTTTGACAAGAACACCTAGCAATATGCTTCAATTTATTCTAAGCTTGTGGAGATTAAAAACAGATAAAAACGAACACGAAAGCAATCTATTGTGGAAAATATGCGTTCGTGTATACCAAATGCGTGCAGCAATGAGCAGGGGCACAAAAAGGTTTTCCCGGTGTCGTCCTCTTTAAAGGAGGAAGACTAAATGGATGTTTCAATCCTTCGGAGGCAATATGGGCTTTTCCAGCCTGCAGTCACTTGATGCATTCCAGAATTAGGATAACATTCGCATATTAGGTGCGGCTCTCAAAGCTAAATATATTTGTTATGTTTAACAAAATGCATACACGGCCTATTTTTAACCCATTTGTGGTATATATCTGGACTTGAAATGCTGACGGATATACCCTAATACGGATATAGACTTCAGTTAAAATTTAGTTTAGTAGACATTATTCCACAATGGATTAGGGCAGGGTACTAAATTTTCCGTCTAAGCTGAAAGTAACTTTCACGTTTCACGCTGTGATAATGAAAGTACAGTTTCGTCTAAATACCTTCCTCTAGCCATTTCCGTCTCAGGGAGGCCTTCAGGGTAAATACACTAACCAGCAATTTTCGACTTGGAAATAGGTTTTTACTTATTTACCGATTCTTATAGTAGATGCTACACAATTTTCAATTTTTTTCCTTAAGATTGTCTTCAAAGATAAGCACTTTGGCAAAAAACGTACAAATCAAATTCATTTGTGAAGTACAAGGCCGTTTTTCTCGAAAACTCAATTTCGAACCATAGTACCAACCTACAGAGGGAAATTTTCTAATGATTTTGTTTAAAAAAGTTTGGGAGAGTAAATTTTTTACCGAATTTTATATATATTTTTTTAATACTTGGAACGGATTTTAAAATAGATTATCTAGGCCCAAATTAAAAAAAAAAGAATTTGTATTTTCATCAGCATTATGTAAACGTCGCACATTGATAAAAAGACCATCAAACTATAAACTATATTTTATTGGTGACAAATTTCCTAAATTTGTGAATTCGATTCTGATAGAATCCTGAAATTCAAAATGGTCGATCCAGTATGGCAGCTGCGATCCAAAATTCGTATCTTATGCGAATATTAAAAAAAAAAAATAATCAGTTCGGTGAAAAATTTTCTCATCCAGCCCTTTTAACTTTCCCTGTCACAAATGTAGTTGTGTGAGTCCATCAACACAAGGTGTTTGTATACCAGATTTCTATAATTATTTCGTTAGTTGCTGGGCTTATAGCCAAGTTTCAGGTAGAAGACGTTCTTTATTCTTCAGCTTTTCTAGTTCGTTTGTCCGGATTGGAAAAGTCAATAGGCTGTTTCACTTTCGGTGCAGGTTTCTGAGAAGGTTTTGAATTTTGTTTTATTATAATCATTTACTGGTAAAAAAATATTTTTTAAGTTATATTGACTTAAGCCCACAAACAGTATATCTTTGTGTCTTTAATGCTTTGATTAAAAAATTCAGTTTTTATATAACAGTTTGGGTCTAAGGACATTCATGCTCTAACAGAAAAAATAATCTCCTCTATTTAAGGTATATGATATGAATGTGTATTTATATTTTTTGTTGTGATATTTTTCGTGTTGTGCTTTAAGCAAACATATTTATATCAAAATTTTAAACAACCAATGTTATCTTCACATACGATCAATTCCAATTTAACGAAATTAACACAAAATTGTGTGTCATTGTAAAAAAATATAAACATTTGGAAAAAAACATTAGAATTACAAAAATTTGTGTGGAGATGAATTTGCAAAAATAATATAAATAATTTAAGATTTAGTTTACAAAATTTTTGTTAATCAAATTTTTCATAAAACGATTATAAATACTTAAACGGGGCAATCAATACTCGTGCAAGGATATTCCAATGATAATTATGTATGTATGTCATTATGTGGTAGGTTTTTCTGTATGACACGTTAAAAAAGTTGGTAAAACGCTGGGAACATCAGCCAAAACGCAAACAATCCACAATGGTTTAATTAAAACTGTACAAGGCGGGAGCAAGGAAACTATTTAAAAATATTTATATATTGTAAATAGAACAAGCTAAAAAAACAATTATTAAATGTTAATTGCTTAAGAAACATTGAGATTTAAAATTTTAAAAAGTTGCACTCTGTTGTTGCATATCCTTGGTACGAGTACGGTAGACCGCCCCTACCTTGACCACTGTGCCGACCTGATGCGAATCAGCCGATTGTCGATTGTCTAGTAGATTGGCGCGCTCCATTTGCTCTAACGGTACTGACTCACGCGGCTGCTCGTTCAGTAGACGTTCTCGCATTTCATGTATGTAGGGACAACGCTGCATTCCTTGCTACACTTGCAGGCGATTGAACGTTGCTTGCTCGTGAAGTTATGCCAATTTATGAGAGCAGATGATGTGCGGAAAAGTTGAACGAGTTGTATGTACGAGTAACTATGTAATTGCGGTAGTCGTTGAAAAGTTGCGTCAAATGAAGTGGAACTGATTTGTGGTAGTTTCTTTTTTTTAATTTCTACTTTTTATTGCTGCGCAATTTGTTGAAAGTACTATTTAGTATTTTTGATTCTTCTTCATTTTAAATTTCTTTTATTGTTTTTCGAGGTTTTTTATGACTTGCAGATAGTGTTATGCACTAAAAACTTTAGTCTTCGTAAAAAAGTTAGAAAACTACTTTGGTTTTGTTGTAAATTTGATTTGCTGCTAACTAATTTTTAAAGTTTTCTTGTTATAAATCTTGTTAAAGACTTAGGTTTTTACATATTTTTTGGCAGAGTAAATCAGTCAGTGGTTTTCAAGATGTTTGATGTGATTTTTTGTTGATAAGACCTGAAAGGAAAATAAGGGAATTATGTAAATTATTTAATATGTATAAAAAATTATTTAAAATCCTTACAAGCTAAGTAGGTATCACTATAGAAAATGTGTTTGGCAGATTGAAATAAAATCTACCACCAATAAGTGTAGTTTCTATCCTAAAATAACACATCCCAAAAATTATTTCGGAAAATCTATATTTTTTCAAAAATTATGGTCTTGATTGAGATAATTCAAAAAAGGCTACTGAAATTCAAGTTAAATCGACTTATTATCAGAATCTATAACTATTATATCCTCTTTAGCAGCAGGACAAGAAAAAAGTATCTATAAAAAACGACTGCCAGATCACGATGTAGAGAAGAAAGGTGGCGCCCATATCGGTACCACTATTCCGCTGTCAGTGAATTTGACAGAATCACTATTTGTATGACGTAACACTTGTTCAACTTTTTAATGTTTCTCTTGCAAAATTTCTTCCTCTTCTTCCATTCTTGCTTTCGATTTGACATTTCTCTCGCAGGTGCACCAGTGTGAAGTCAAGAAAAAATTATTCTCAAAAATATTGACACAATCAAAAAGGTTTCTGGTAACGTGTACACCAAATTTATTATTAACTTTTATGGTTTCGGAGAGATATCCACAGATCTTTGTTGAAATCAGCCTAACACCAGACGGATCAAATGAAACCAAAGGGTTAAAACCAAAGGCGTATTCATAATGTTAAACGTGAATGAAACTAAAACGGCTTGCACCTTTCAGAGATCTCTCCAGTAGTAATCTACCTTATCTGCCTTACCTTATTGCCCGGAACGCAAAAAGTATGAATTCTTTAAAAATTGAATTTTTATTTTAAAAACTTATAGTTATTACGGTTTCTGAAATGAAGGTGTTTAGTAAAGTTTCCCTCGATCGATTGGTATCGCATTCGATTGAGACTATATCGGCCTAAAGAGTTTCATCTCTGAAAGGTGCCTTATAGATTATTTAATTCTCAAAATTCGAAGCTTTGGCCGTTATTACGCAGCTTACTGAATAAATTCCGCGGGGATGTGTTCGCTTACGAATTTTTGGCGCTTTTATGTGCCCGTATCTCAGCTGTTTCTAGATTTCGTTTAATCTCTAAATTTTAGGGTAATGCTTCTCCTTATGCTACACGTGTATTACATTATTTATAATGAAAAAGTAAGTTATTCAAACCAGTGTTACCAACCTCTCAGAAAGTTTCACCCCAAATATTTTTCAAACCCCCCTAAAATTAGCCTAAAATCAACAAAAATCCCCTAAAAACACATTTGATTAGCGCATAGAAAAATCCATTTATTAAACAATATAATATAATATTATATACATATGTACATATACTGCAATTGAACGACTTCAGTTTTTCTACTTATACATATGTATGTACATACTTAAAGCACATTAATTTCTAACTCTTTTAAAATTTCAAACAAGTCGTCAGCTTCTCGTTGATCAGCTGCATTTTTATTTTTGAAATCGTACATTTTTACATTGAATAATTTCAGCATTTTAGAAGACGGATTAAATTTAGCACATGAACCGCAGTCTCTCTGTAAGCTGAATCTTACCATCATTAAACTCTGGAGCAAATCAAGAGATAATCTATTCCTCAATTTATTTTTAACGATACCATAAGTCGAAAATGCACGTTCTACACTTGCATTTGAAATTGGGGCAGTTAGTAAGGCGAAAGCAAACTTTGCAATATTTTTAAAACGTTTATGTCCTGCAGAATCGCAATCATCGTAAACTTCTGCATAGAAATTAATTGAA